GGCTGCTGTGAGCCGAGATCACGCCACTGCACTCCAGCGTGGGCAACAGAGCAAGACTCCAACTAAAAAAAAAAAAAAAAAAAAAAAAAAAGGAAGAAATATTTTGTACACATGGGGTGTCGCTATGTTGCCCAGGCTGGTCTCGAACTCCTGGCCTCAAGCAGTCCTCCTGCCTCAAACTCCTGCAGGCGTGAGCCACTGTGCCAGCCTACATTTCCCTTTCTAGAGGACTTTGTCAGTCTCTGCAGTCAGACAGTAAACTCTGGGGTGACTCAGGTCCCTGTCTGGCTCTGCGTGCCTCATCAAAGGGCAGGCCAGGAGTCCCAGGAATCAGGATCCCTGGCTCCTTCTCTCCCAGCCCAGCGCTGGAGTTCCAGCTTCCATGATTCCCCTGGGGGCTGCCTGAAGCCCCCACACCAGAGTGCCAGCCCAGGGCTATGGCCGCCACCACAGCCACCCTATGAGAGGGGCTCAGGGACCCCTAGAAATGGGCCCACCAGGCATCAGGTGATGTCTTGTTGCAGACTTACCAACTCCCAAGCCCCCGGCGCCGCCACCTGCAAGGCAAAGAGAGGCGCTGTGAGAGTGCCCACTTCCGGGGAGCCCGCTAAGCCTTCACGCCAAGCATGGGTGCAGCCGGAGGCGGGGGCTGGGGGCAGTGTGGGCTGCAAGATGCCAAGTTCTGGGCTTGGGTGCCAGGAGCCCTGGGCTCTGCCTCCGCTCACTGTGTGATCTTGGAGCGGTCCCTGGCACTCTCTGAGCCTCAGTTTCCGCCCTTTGCAACATGGTAGAAAAGCTCTCTCTCCTCCAGGGACCTTGAGGGTCATGAAATGTGTTTTGTTTTTTTTCACTTTTGAAACAGGGTCTCACTCTGTCACCCAGGCTGGAGTGCAGTGGTGCCATCTCAGCTCACTGCAACCTCCGCCTCCCAGATTCAAGTGATTCTCCTGCCTCAGCCTCCCGAGTAGCTAGGATTACAGGCATGAGCCACCACACCCAGCTAATTTTTCTATTATTCTTAGCTATTTGTTTTTTTTGAGACAGAGGCTTGCTCTGTCACCAGGCGCCAGGCTGGATTACAGGCGCAATCCCGGCTCACTGCAACCTCCGCCTCCTGGGTTCAAGCAATTCTCCTGCCTCAGCCTCCCTAGTAGCTGGGACTACAGGCACGCGCCACCATGCCCAGCTAATTTTTGTATTTTTAATAGAGATGGGATTTCACCATGTTGGCCAGGATGGTCTCGATCTCTTGACCTCATGATCTACCCGCCTCGGCCTCCCAAAGTGCTGGGATTACAGGTGTGAGCCACCCTGCCGGGCATGAAATGTGTTTTTAAAAAGCTGGCGTTCCCTGTTTTTGTAAGAGGTCAGCAAGAAGGAGGGGAGGCTCTATAGTAGCTCGGGGTCTAGCCTCGTGTGAGTCGAGGCTGTGGGATCCACCCCCAGGTGTCAGCTCAGTCCTTCCAAGCAGGAGATGATGCAGGAGAGGAAGGGGAGGTGGCTGGAGCTCCAGGGCAGGGCCCAGGGGCAGGCAGCCTGGCGTACCTGGGAAAATGGGAGACAGTCCGAAGCCGGGTCTTGCTGCCACTCCTGCGGGAGAGACTTTGGGTTGGTGGGTTGGTGTGGGTGGGACCCGGGTCCAGACTCATCAGCTCACCCCAGACCCTCTGTCTGGGACCACCTCTTCTCCGTCCCCCCAACTATAGCATTTTTAATCTTTTATTTCATTATTTTTTTGACACAGGATCTTGCTCTGTCACCCAGGCTGGGGTGCAGTGGGGTGATCTTGGCTCACGGCAACCTCTGCTTCCCCGGCTCTAGCCATTCCGCCTCAGCCTCCTGCGTAGCTGGGGTTACAGGCAGCCCACCACACCCAGCTAATATTTGCTGTTTTTTTTTTTTTTTTTTTTTAGTAGAGACCAGGTTTCTCCATGTTGATCAGGCTGGTCTTAACCCCTGATCTCAAGAGATCCTCCTGCCTCAGCCTCCCAAAGTGCTGGGATTCCAGGCATGAGCCACTGTGCCCGGCCCGTCTCTCCCACTATAGCCAGAGTGGCTTTCTCAATATAACATGCCCCCACCTAGCAACCAAGTGTGGCCTGAGCTCAGCCTGGCACTGTCCCCAACCTTTCAGCTTGCCCCTTTGCCCAGGACATCCGTGGTCCTAGAGTACCCTCTCGAGCCCGCCTCCTGTCCTTGTGACAGACAGTCCCCCTTTAGATCTGGGCAGAGCTGAGGATTACACAGCAGAGCTGGCTGCCCCTACCTCCAAGTGGGAACTGCCCGGCACCCCCTAGGACACCTCCAAGGCCAGCAGCACCTAAGAAGAGGCAGGTGGGGTCAGGACAAGGTACGCCCATCCGGAGGAGGCCCTGATGTCCCTGCTGGGTTCTGGGGTAAGGAATGCCCTAGATAAGATCTTCAGGGGTAGGGGGAACCAGAGGGAGGCCTGAGCTGGGCTTGGGGAGGGTGGCGATGGGCATGGCAGAGGGCGCAGGCCACTGGCAGGAAGGCATGGGGGGAACTCACCGTATTTAGCTGCTTTGGCGGCTACAGCTGGAGATACACCTGGGGAGATGAGGGACAGGAGAGCTCAGGAATGCCACCTCCCTGCCAGAGTCAGGCCCTGTCTTCTTTTTTTGTCTGTCTTGAGGCAGAGTCTTGCTCTGTCACCCAGGCTGGAGTGCAGTGGCACGATCTCAGCTCACTGCAACCTCCCAGGTTCACGCGGTTCTGCCTCAGCCTCCCGAGCAGCTGGGATTACAGGCACCCACCACCAGGCCCAGCTAATTTTTGTATTTTTGGTAGAGACAGGTTTCACCATGTTGGCCAGGCTGGTCTCAAACCGCTGACCTCAGGTGATCCACCCACCTCAGCCTCCCAAAGTGCTGGGATTACAGGTGTGAGCCACCGCGCCTGCCTGGGCCCTGTCTTCTGACCTAAGCACCTTTTACCATCTGCTCATGGACTCACCCTCCCAGTATCTATTCCTCATCTCCCCTTCATCTAATCCAGGGTCTTGTCCTGTTGCCCAGGCTGGAATGCAGTGGCTCGATCATAGCTCATTGCAGCCATGAACTCCTGGCTTCAAGTGATCCTCCTGCCTCAGCTTCCCAGTAGCTGAAATTACAGGCACACACCATGCCTGGCTAATTTTTAAATATTTCGTAAAGATGGCAGGTGGGGGGTGGTCTTGCTACGTTGTCCAGGCTGGTCTTGAACTCCTGGCCTCAAGCGATCCACCCAATTCAGTCTCCCAAAGTGTTGAGATTACAGGCATGAGCCACAGTGCGCAGCCCCAAAAGTCTTAATTGTTAAGCTCCTACTATGTGTTTGGCCTGAGGCACTCACAGGAAGAGCCCTGCAGGCGGGTTTAGGGAGGAAGACACAGTGACAGCTCAACAGAGCGGCGCGATCTCGGCTCACCCCAACCTCTGCTTCCTGGGTTCAAGCGACTCTCCTGCCTCAGCCTCCAGGGTAGCTGGGATTATAGGCGTGCACCACCACACCTGGCTAATATTTGTATTCACACCTCTAATCCCAGCACGTTGGGAGGCTGAGGCGGGCGGATCACCTGAGGTCAGGAGTCAAGACCAGCCTGGCCAACATGGGCTCCAGTGATTCCACCAGCATCTCTACTAAAACTGTAAAAATTAGCTGGGCGTGGTGATGCGTGCCTGTAATCCCAGCTACTCAGTGAACTGAGAAAGGAGAATCCCTCGAACCCAGGAGGCGACAAAGTTGACCACAATGGCGGAGACTTAGGGAAAGCAATTTCTCTCCAAGCTTCGATTTCCTTCTTGGAGAATGGCGTGAGCATTGTTCTCTGAATCGACTCCCACGGCCGTGGTTGGGGGGTTGGGGGGGGTTTGGAAGAGGGGAGGGGGAGGCTTGGGACCCTGGCAAGAGGGGAGGGGGAG